AACGGAATTAGCCACCCAGGAGCCCCTCCAATATTAGAACAAGTGCTTCTTAAAAATTCAGAAGAATAAATCAAAAATCTTGTGGAAAAATGGGTAAAATAAATGGACAGTACACAAAAAAATAAATATAAATGGCCCTTATACACATAAAATGGTGTTCGGTCTCACTTATAATAAGAGGAATTCAATTTAAAATTACACTGAGATACCATTTCTCATCCATTAGATTCACAAAAATTGATAACTCTGAGTACATATCCCGATGGCCAGGCTCTTGGGAACCATTGTTCTTATACACTGCTGACAGGAATGCAAAATATGTATCCCCTATAGAGGGGAATTTGGAAATAAAAAAAATAAAAAACACCCTACATATGCCTTTGTCTTTTGATTTGCTAATCTCACTCCTAGAAATCTTATTGGAGATATACCTCCACAAATATACAGAAAAATTCGATTCCTTATAAGACCAAAATGCCCACCAAAATGTGAGAATTATTGTGGTACATTCCCACACAGAAGACAATGCCATTGTAAACAGAGACAAGGAGGGTGTCTGGAATGAAGTGAAGTGATATCCTAGATAGGTTTCTAAGAAAAAAAACAACAACAACAAAACAAACAAAAACAAGTGTAAAGCAATGCATAGAGTATACTGAAGATACTTATATATTTAAGAAAGAGCGTACTATAAGAAAGATACTATACTTAAGAAAGTACTTAAGAAAGATACTATATATTTAAGAAAGAGCGTACAAATGTGTACTAATTTATAATTTCTCAAAGAAACTTGGAAGCATATTTCAAGAACTTTAATGATTGTCAACGGGGAACGTAATCATAGATACAGAGAAAAAGCTAAATATCTGTGTGCTCTTTTATTTTTTTTTTTTTTTCTCTTTCCTTTTTGAAAACTGGTTTTACTTTGGAAGAATTGTGGAGGAAAACAGACTTGAGAAGTGTTACCAGCCAAATGCAGCGAGGAGACCTCGATACAAGCACGACAGCTTGCAAAAAGGCATTTTTGACGCAGAGAAATTTGACTACAGAATAATTATTAGATTATATTAAGGAATTATTATCTTTTAGGTGTGATAATCATCATAATGCGGTTAGATTTTTAGACAGGCATTACTTCTGAGAGACATAAACTGAATAATTATGGATAAAATAATATTTTATCTTGGATTTTTTATAATGCAGTAGGGGGTAAAAAGTGAAAGGAAGGAACTGATATCTTAAAAGCCCTAAAACTGTACATACATTTTGACCAATCAGGTATAATTTCTGGAATTTATCATAAATGTATAGCTATGAATATACATAAAGATTTAATTAGAGAAACATTTATTCCAATAATTTTTTGGAGCGAAAAACTGGACATACCTTGTGCCTAAATCATTTACTTAAATAAATCAAATATGTATAAATGTTTTCAAAATAATTTGAACGGAAAAGTCATATTATTACTAATTGAAGAAAATAGTTCATAAAAACATAATATTTTGTTAACAAAAATTATTTAAGGAGAAATAGAAAATGTTTTATAAATGTTTATAGTATAATCATTGGGAGATTGGAATTCGGGCAACTTTTACTTAAAATCAACATTGGAGGCTTATATTTATCTTTTAAAGTACCTACAATAAGGGGCGCCTGGGTGGCGCAGTCGGTTAAGCGTCCGACTTCAGCCAGGTCACAATCTCGCGGTCCGTGAGTTCGAGCCCCGCGTCAGGCTCTGGGCTGACGGCTCAGAGCCTGGAGCCTGTTTCAGATTCTGTGTCTCCCTCTCTCTCTGCCCCTCCCCCGTTCATGCTCTGTCTCTCTCTGTCCCAAAAATAAATAAACGTTGAAAAAAAAATTAAAAAAAAAAAGTACCTACAATAAACAGGTATTTCCTTTGCAAAACAATAATTATTAAAGTAAAAGGTGACTTTGCATAAGGTAATCAATTTCAGCAAAATTACAGAAGATACATAGGAAAAAAGAATGGAAAGTTTCAGATATTTGTGAGAGGGAAAACATTTTAAAGACATGAATAACAACCACTGTCCCATAAGTTGAAATAATTAAAAAAAATTTTTAATGTTTATCTATTTTTGACAGAGAGAGAGAGAGAGAGAGAGAGAATGAGAGAATTCGCAGGGGAGGGGCAGAGAGAGAAGGAGACACAGAATCTGAAGCAAGCTCCAGGCTCTGAGCTGTCAGCACAGAGCCCGACATGGGGCCCGAACCCACAAACCATGAGATCATTACCTGAGCTGAAGTCAGATGCCTAACCGGCTGAGCCACCCAGGCACCATAATAATGTTTTTAATATGAGCGATATAAGATTCTTTACTCTGCAAAAATCGTTCCTCACCATGAGATTTCTCACACATTCATCTTAGACCCTTAGGAGAAGAAATAATATTTTATTTTGCTTAATCCACAGAACCAAGAACAATGCTGTGAAGTTTAGGTAAAGGGTAGAATATTTTTGAAAGATCTGTTAACTTAATTTCCCTTTTTCATAAACTAGATGCCCTCCTTTTACCCTGTACACCACAATGGCTGTATGTGTATGCCGAATATATATATATATATATATATATATATATATATATATATAT